AGGGGGTCATTTACAGCCTCTAGAACCACACAGGGGGTCATTTATACCCTCTTAGAGGCAGTAGCAGTGGCGCTATGCAGTATCTCATTAACTGGTGTCAGTGTGGTGGGTACTGATAGGTGGGCTATCACCTGGCAGAGCTGCTGAGCCAGCTGTTTCCTGTCCTGGCTGTAACATGCAGCCTGCTGGTAGTAGAATCCAGGGTTCTGGGTCTGGATGGCCGTCAGACCCAACTTTATGGCTTCATCAAACAGCTCACCGAAGGACTGGAACCTGTTAGCAGCAAGCAGAGAGACAGTCGGTGTCTGGAGGGACATCCTGATGTCACTGTGCATAGTAACGTACAGGTGTGTCTCCAGCAGGTATGAAGACTAATCCTGCATATAAATCACCCTGATAATTAGAAAATGTTTTGCACAAATGAAAGATAGTGAATGTTGCCACAAACACTTTTTATTTCCACATTTAATTAAACTGTTCTTGTGTCATAGTTCTGTCATCACAGTCAAGGCTAAATAGCTAACAGGCTCACGAGCAGCATCCTGCTGCTGCTGGCCAGCAAGAACAAGTTCTACACAGATGTCTTGTTTAGTTTAAACTGCTTCCATTTCCTCTTATGTCCTCTGTAACTGGCCTGACATGGTGGCTACTGGCTGTGTAGGGTGTTGACTACACCGTGTACGTGTGTGTTGTGTTCATGTTCAGAGGGTGAGCTCACTGTTTAGACATCCAGGCAGCGTGTTCAAAGGCCAGCTCAGCACTGCCGATCTTCTTCTTACACAGATCGATGTGCTTCCTGAACTGAGCGATAGCATCTAGAGGGGTGTTGTGCTGAAAACACAGGCGGCAGATCTGCAGACAGACAGAGATAAACTGGTTTGTTCTGAAACTAAAGCACAAGAACTGAACTATCAGTCACATCACTGCACCTCTTTATCTACATGTTAAACAGCCATCGAGGTAAGCATGACACAGAGTAGCTTGTAAATACTAAACACCATTCACGGTTCTGTTTCTGATCACGTTGGCTGATTTGTTTCACGTGAATTCAGGAGACGTCACGCATTGACGCAGAGCTTTGTGTTGAGCTGGTCCGGTGCACGACCAGGACACACACACACTGAGTTTCACACAACGGTGAGAAACAGCATCATGATGACGGCCACATGGCGTGAGTGTCTGACAGGTGTATCCAGAGCTCCACCTGATTGGTCAGATGTTTGGCTGCTCAGTGTGTGTCAGGACAAAGATGTTGTAATTCACTGCATCAAGGCATCGTTCACACGTTCCCTTTATACATATTTATATATATGTGAAAATACGAGATCTTCCTCTGCTCCACTGTCAGCAGCTGTCACTGACGTACCTTATAGTTGATGAATCCAGCCATCGTTTTAATCTCCAACATGTTGGTCTCATGCGCTCTGAGCTCGTGCACGAGGCTGTATGCAGTTCTGTAGTACCTGCAGCCACCAACACAAGACAAAGCGTTGAGGGCGACCTGCAGCTTTCTACTGTCCACCTCATCTCACACTCAGAAACCCACCGATACACATCTGGTCTGATGGAAAACAGAAAGTCTGACTGTGGAAGCTTTCAGTGACCAAGTCAGAGTTAGAAGAGACTGAAGTAGGACCCCACCGGGATGGATGGATTGGATGGATTGGATGGATTGATTGATTGATTGATTGATTGACTGATTGATTGATTGATTGATTGATTGATTGATTGATTGATTGAGACCAAAAAAGAAGCTATTTTATTTATTACTTATTTTTTTAATTAATCAGCTGATTAATCGGTTATCTGAATTTTTTTCTGCCAAATATCAGAATCAGCATCGGCCTCAAAACATCCATATGGGTCGGGCCCTAAACTAAAGTGAAACACAGTCAAGCAGCGAGACAAAGACTCAGCAGTGGCTGACGTGGCTTGGCAGCACGATGCCATAGCGCTGAAGGATATTCAGCATCAACAGGACGTCGGAGCTCAGACTTACTTGAGAGCGTTCTGCGTGTCCTGTTTCAGCTCACTGAAGAAAGCGATTTTAAACTGGTGTCGGACAAACAGCAGCTGGAACATCAGGAGAAGAACAATACCAGTGATGTTTGCATTTAACGTTGCATCCTGAGAGCTGCTGCAAACTGTGTAGGAACGTTTCCTGTTTGTACCTGATGAGTCGTCTTGTTGAGGAACTCCTTGTGTGATTTAACACGACGGATCTCTGTGTAGTAGTACGTCTGAGCGTGCTCGTAGAAGGCGTTCTCCAACCTACAGGGTTACAACAACACAACATTCAGGCCACATGTCAATATTCCGACCAGTGCTAACCCAACCAGCCCAGTTCAGAGAATCATCTACCTGATAATGTAGCCCACTAAGTGGTCGGTGTGCGGCAGAACGAAGAGGCTTTTTCCAGACAGATCGCAGGCGTTGCAAAGAGCTGAAGCTCTCTCAGATGCTACCAGGTCTTCTCCTGTGCAAACACAACACATGGTTGGAATTCTCTGTGAGAGCTCGCTTGGAAATGTTCTCTTACATGACAAACAGCGTTAGTGAGGATCCAGTGACACCACCAGGCCTACATTCAGCACGTCCCACTGAGAAATATCTGTCATGTGTGAGCGGTTACAGGTTTTCAAATCAGAGACATAACCTGTGTGGGTGGTTTTCAGAACTTCAGAACTATTCAGCGCATCACTAACAAATACACAAACTTGAACAGCCCCAGGTATGATTCAGCTCAGCTCAGTTTACCTGGAGGTAGAGGAGTTTTCTTCTGGATTAGAACCACGGCCACTTTGGTGTTCCTGCCCTGAAGACTGGTCCTGCAGGTCCATATAGATATTACATTCAGTGATACTGGCAATTACACACATTCTGCATGAAAACAGGATGGTTTAGCGATCACCAACCTGACAATCTCAACCTTAGTGGCACATTCAGACTGTTTCTCTTTCCACTGTGGGTCGTCCCAGTCCAGTTCATAGAACAGAACCACCAGAGCCGGTACCAGGTTGAGGTGTTTGTTCATCCAGCCTGTCTTCAGGATGCCTTTAGGGATGTACCACTCATAAGATGTTCGCTAGACAAACAGACAAGAGAAGGAAAACCTGCTCAGAAGCAGAAAGTCTTTCACACATTTCAGACAGACATTTGTTATAAGGCAGCATAAAGACAGCAGCTTAACACTGCAGTGAAATGACCTCGTTTACACACTCCCTTGTACACATGATAAAACATATCAACAGAGACAGAAACTAAGCTGCATATTTGTCTATTTGCATGTAGCAGCATCAGTGAGATGTACGATGTAGCAGCACATGTACATTCAAAGTGCCAGAGCCTGGTGACACACAGTAGCGCTCCTGTAGCGCCTCCCTGAGGGCAGCGCTGTGGGTGTGTGTGGTCTTTTCGCCCTAATGAAAGAAAATCTATTTAGTCATTTAAACAGTGCGCACATGCAAACATAAACTGTGTTCCTATTCAAAATTCTGGGTCGGGTTCAACGGGATATTGAATCTGAAGTCTTAGTTTGTTGACCAAGTCGTCAGACTCATCAGTCCACCGCTCACCTTAGTGCGACATTTGGGGTATTCGTGGTCTCCTGGCAGTACTTTGAAGGAGATGGGGACTCTGTCGGCACGACGGTTGGCACAGAAGGCGTCCCAAATGGCCCGATGCACAGCGTTGTACACCACATCCAGGCCTGTTAGAGCCACAAAGGCCATGGGCCGACAGCACAGCTCTGGAGGAAGCTCCCACTGGGAACCTGCCATCATGTCGGTTTAACAACAGGGAGACCTGCACAGAACAGAGCAATATATCTTTAAAACGGCCTAATAGAATGTCTTAGTGTGGAAAAATACCCCTGTACACTACGGTAGCGTAGTTTATTTAATGCCTAATGGTTATCCATTATGTTTTGATTCCGCAGTTTGGGGTTGAAACAGACAGAATTTTCCTAAAGTGGTTTAGATAAAACACATTTTCTGACATAAATAATGTTGATTTTGAGCAGGAAAAAATTACAACTAAATCCAAGTGGAACCACGGACAGAGACTGAATGAACAACTTCAGGTCACAAGACCTGAAGGTTAGCATTAGCTAGCAGAGCTAAGCACCTGCTAGCGGTGACAGTTCAGCTGTTTACATGGTTCAGACTGCGTTTTTATTCTACACACAGAGATGTTTTTCATTCATATAAAAGTTTATGACACGTTTAAAAACTGCCTGACATTTATTTGTGATTGTCTGATAAATGGCGCATCGCTAAGACGAAAGCGGAACTGAGCTAGCCTAACTCGGCTAACGCTAGTAACAGTGCTGTTGTCCTGTTAGCAACAATAATAAACTCGTAATAAAGAGATGATTTAAATATGTGAACCTGTGCACCCTTTAACGATAGCATACCTCAGATGCATCACTTCAGGTGAGCTGGTACAGGTGCTCAGCGCGGTGAGCCTGCTTGGATTAGCTAGCTGCGCTGTTAGCAAGTCAGTGGGTTTCTACTGAGGTTAGCAGTTAGCGTTAGCTAGCCGGTGGGCGAGGCTGCTAATTTATTTAGCAAATAAACGTCAGTGCACTTCTAGTTGTAGCTGCCGAACTGGGTTTGAGCTGAATCCCACATCTGGTCACCATCAGACAGCTAGTTACCGATAAGTTAACCTCCGACAGCCAGAGGATGATGTTCGTTTAGCAGCTGTTGCTGAAGCAACAACAAACTCTCCGGCTGGCTGCTTCTTCTTCTGTTGGAGTTTATGAGCGGTTAGCAAACAACAGAGTAGCGCCTCCATCTGGCCGGAGGGGGGACAGTGCAATATGTCCAACCACAGATATACATCATGAAGGCCTTTATTATGTACATCTATGCTCAGACCTGATGTGAATCAGGAATAGAACGGAACCTTCATGTTCCTGAGCTTTGGGATCAGTTTGCTGTTTCACAGCTGTGTTCCGTTCTGATCCTTTTAAATAGTCTGAGCAGGAGAGGAGCTTTGATGAACCTTCTGGGGTTCTTCCCCCCGAACAGGAGGAACCAACGCAGCAGACCGGACTGGGGCAACTCCTCAGAAAGGGTCCTTAAAGAACCATATTTTGGGGTTTAGAGTTCTATTTTAAGCTCGTTATTATTATTATTATTATTATTATTATTATTATTATTATTATTATTATTATTATGGGGTGTTTTTTAAATCTTAAAGTTAAAAATAAAAAAAAATAAAAAAAACGTAAGAAATATTCCCAAATATCCAGAACAAGTCTGTAAAAGCTGCAGTGAGTCGGAACCACGTGACAACATGATGTCCACAACCTGAAACTCGAACCGTCCCGGGCGGTGCGGCTGTCTGGACTCCTCTGAGCTGAGCTCTTAAAGGTTCTGCTTCGAACGAACCTTCCTAGTTCTCAGGGTTCCAGGGGTCTGTGTGCTGGATGTGGGTCCGGCTGAAGCCTTATAATAAAATTACTGAGCCTGGTTCTGGTCCTGGGTCCAGACTCAGTGAGCCTGGTTCTGGTCCTCAGAGGTTCCGGACACTCAGAGGTTAACAGCGGAGAGTTCGGTTTCGTGGCGCTCAGCAGCTTCCTGCCTCCTCAGCAGCTTCCTCCACTGAGGGACCGGACGGCGGCGGCACCATGGAGCAGCATCCCGGCAGCAGCACCAGAGGACCCGGCTGTGTCCTGCCCGGCTTCCCCGTGAGTATCCCGGCCGGCTGGTTCTGTTCTGTGGTGTGTTTGGACCGTCAGTGCTGGCGTACAGCCCGCTTAGAGTTTAACCTTCAGGCGAAGGTGGAGGTGTGGTCCGGAGGTTCTGGTCCTGCGGAGGGATGCTGCAGTGGACCAGCTCGCGGACGGTTAGAACACAGCAGAGCTGCGTCCCGTTTCCTCACTATGAGACTCCGTTCAGAATGTTCGCATTTTAACGTTTTCTGTGTTGCCCGGAGATGAACTTCCAGAACCAAACACAGCAAAGGTCATGTCAGGAGTGGGCCGAGTCAGCTGCTAAATTCGGCTTCATTTATATCAACTCATATCTTTCGTGTCAGTGTAAAATCTGCTCTGCAAACGTCCTGATGGTGTCCCGTGGAGGCACGCAGGCGCAGAGAGCGCCAGAGGCCGCGTAAATAAGGTTTGGGAGCAGATTAAGGGAAACTACACAGCAGAACACCGGGATCGAGCTGAATGAAAGCAGGTGGTTTCTAAAGAACCGTGTAGCTGCCAGCAAGCAAACATCCCCCAAGTTTGTGTCCTGCAGGCTGTCCTGGGTGCTGAGGCTCAGCAGCAGGTTGAACTCTCTAACATATCAGGCTGATTAGCAGGACAGGTAGTCATGCCTTAGATGAGCTCTGAATAAGCTGTAAGTCCTCAGTTTTCCATAACTGGTCTGGAATGTGGAGGAGGGTCTGCAGGGAGATTCCCAGCGTTCCCACAGGAAGTCTAAGATTAATGCAATGGAGCAGCTGGTCCTGAGTTCAGCCTGCTGGTCCTAAGTACTGGTTTTAATGGAAGGAATCCGTCTGTATGAGTGACAAAGGTGGGATCAGCAGCCCGCCATCAGATACAACAAAACTTCTTTGATCCGAAAGGAACCTCTTTTTTCCTGATATGGTTGAGAAAACCAAAGTGGATGACATGAGGACAGATGCAGCTCCTGACTGAAGAACGATCTGGGTGAAGACCAGAGACCGTCGCCTTCATTTCTGCTCTTCTCCTGGATGGATGCCATCTCACTCAGCTTTACATATAACTGAAATGGTTTTCCTGGTCTGAAAAAATCCAAAAGAAACCTGGTTCTGAGGTGTGCTGATGAAAAACAAAATGAGTGTTCTAAGGTTTGTTGTGCTGAAGCTGTCGCCTCACTGACGTCAGCGTTCTGATTCATAGGCTCACTGTGATCTGAAACTGATAACAACAGGAGAAATAAGAATGATCTGTGGAAAAGGCTGACTAGCTCACTAGCTTATGCTAAGCTAATAATGCTATGCTATATGATTTATCTTTATTTGCATATCAAGAATTTAAATATCAATGATAATGAAGTTCTGTTTTTTCAAGACCCATCAGTTTTTAATTAACTGGCAATAATGAAACCATGAAAAAACAAACGTAAACTCAGTCCTACGTTATTTCTAGCTTGTGTTTCACTGCTGCAGTCAGAGCAGCATCACACTTTGAATATTGTGCATAAATGTTGTTTATGGTTTAAAATGACTTGTGAAGCCAGATTAACTGTGGATCTTCTCACCCCAGTGGAGGGGCTCCTCCCTGGTTCAGGAGCTGAGAAGCCTCTTTTCAAGATTTTACGTTTAGTTTTATAACCCAAAGTCGTCTGCCATGATGCAACTGCACTGAATCTCTTCACTTCAGCAGACTTGTGCTGACATTCACACGTTATGTTTTAGAGTGCACTCAATCTTACAGTCCTGCAGATGTCCAGGTCAGGAGCTGCAGTTATGGTCACACATCAGAAAGGACAGAAACATGATCTCACTGACCTTGTTGGACTGAACACGTCTGAGTGGTTCTGAAGCTGATGACCTTCTGGGTTCTCACCACAACAGTCTGCTGAGTTCAGTCAGAATAGTGCGAACAACAAGAAGAACATGGAGCTGCAGATGGAAACACATGAGAGGTCAGAATTTGGTTGGAGCTGAGAGGAAACCTGCAGGAGCTCAGGACCGAGCAGAACAGCAGCTCAGAACGTGTCCAACCGGGAGGTGGTTCCACTGCAGCAGCAGAGAACCTCGTCGGGTTCCTCCAGGTCAAGAACAGAGATGTGAAGCTGCAGGCGGGACCAACTCTGAACACAGTACAGCTGAAGATGAACAACTGCAGCCTGTTCTGACGGATCTCTGCCGAAACTGCAGATGGTCAGAATCCATCAGTCCGACCCGTTTCAGTCAAGACTGCTGCTTTGGAAAATATGTTCCTGGACTGTCCTCTATTCCTGATGTTGGATCACCTGCCCAGCTAACGATTGGATCACCTGC